GAGTGACCTGTTGCAGAGTCCATGAGAAAACATGTTTCGTGGCAGGGTTATTCTTCCAGGACTCCCTAAATGGAAATACAAAACCACATTAAGTGACATGGTATTAACCAGCAAAGAAAATTACCCAGTTCAAGCAAAACACAGTATTTTCTTGTCCTTGAGAAAATCACATCCCACATAACTCTTGATGTTACATTTTAAGGTTTAGATCAAAATAACTCAAATAACTTACACTAAATGCATTTAACAATCACCCAAGGCTCTGGGTCTAAACCTTATCCAATGAGAAATAGCCATTTATAACCATAGCTATGGAAAGGATCTGTGTGATGTGGTTATAGTGAAGAGGTGTTGAGAAGGGAGAGAGGAGTAAAGGAAATGTCTTTATTTTTATTATTTGTTTTATTATTATTATTACTATTATTATTAAGGGAGCAAATGAATCAATACTTGAACAGCAGTTTATAGTTTATAAAATGAATTTACACACATGACTCAACTAATCTTCAAAATAACTGTGTGACAGGTAATACCTTTGTATTACAAATAACGAAATTGAGGTTCAGAGAGGTTATCCGCCATGGTCCTACTCAGAAGCAATAAAAATTAAGCACCATCTGCCTCAATGTTAACTCCAAATTTCTGGTAAAATGTCAGTTATGTACACATTTTTTTTCTCATCACTAGAATGTTACAGATACCACTGTAGGACAGTTGGTCCTGTCCAAAACACTGATGCAGAGAGCTGGTCTACGCAAAAAGGTCCTTGAAATTTGGTCCAGTCCAAAACATCCACACTTAGGAAACGTCCTTGGGTTCAAACAGCTCATAATGTTTATTTATATTTTTGGTTTACAGAATTAATATATAAAATACTATCATGTTTTATTGGTTTAATAACTGTTGTGGCTGCATTGCCAGTAACTCTTTTGACTTGGTAGTCTAGCTAGTTATGGCACATGGAGCTAGGTAGATGAGGTGGCATAGATCAAATGTCTTCATGAATGTTTTGGACAGAACCAGATTTCAAGAATGTGGATGAAATGTCTCGGTGGTCACTTTGGACAGGACAACAGTGTACACTAATCACAAATATTAATATACAAATATTAATAATTAATGCAAGAGGAAACGCACAAAAAGTACTTTAGCTAATGGCAATCTAAAGCTTTTATTTTTTCATTCCAAACATTGCTCCCATATCTAATAACTATCCCTTTCTACTAGCGATGAGTTTCAAGATCTCTACGTTTAAATTCAAACCATAAGTTTAAATCCTCTCCAAATCCCCATCCCTTCCTAAGAAAGTTAAGTCTAAATAAACGAGACAGAGCTTCCAATTTCCAGGGCACCTGTCATGGGGACTGAAAAGCGCACTAGAAAATGGGAGTCGGAAAACCAGGGTGCTAATGTCGAACTTGCCAGTATCTAGTTATGTCATTCATAGCAAATCACAACCTTGCTGGGCCTTAAGAGACCTGCTATCACAACACTCAAGTTCCCTTGAACGCTAACATTCTAAACCAGGCTGACGCTCACGTCGGCGGCCCTTTCGTAGGAGTACTCACTTATTCAAATCGGGCTTGAGAAGCCCCATTATCACAGTAAATCTCCCTTTCTCATCTTCATCTTCTCCACGGAGGAATCCTGCCACAGAACCACACTCACTAACTTGAAGCAGTAAGGTGAGCACCTCTCCAGCCACGTCCTTAGATCTTGGGCTGGTCCACGGTAGCTCCAAGCTGTGGGTGACGGCAAAAATATAGACGGGTCCTGCCAACTGACGCAGGCCCGTCTTCCATGCAGGGCACACCAAGGCATTCTTGGCAGCCTCAACTTTCCTCAAGAGCTTCAGAAGCAGTAACCCAACGGCTGCCGCTTTCTCGGCCACTGCAGAGTGACCGTCACTTCTCCCTTCCTGCTCCTTGGGCGGGGCTGCATACTTCTCCACGGCTTTCGCCACACGCCCCAGCAGCTCGGGCGCTCCGCGGAGCGACGTGCCAGGCCCCTCAAAGAGTTTATCACACTCGGTGGCATCTATGAGAGCACTGAGGTCCTGAAGAGCTGCGCTTCTGGCCTTGCCCCGTGAGATCTCCTGGCCGGTAAGATGGTGCAAAATCTGGGCGAAGGCCTGTCCGAGGTCGGAAGAACGCCGCTCTCCAGGCAAGGAAGAGCCCTCCCGCGATTGGGAGCCCCTCGCGCTGTCATGCTCCATTCCTCAGACCGCGGCAGTGATGGCTGGTCTCCCCCAAGAGAACGAAGATGAAGGGATCCGCTAAAGAGGGAAGGGAAGGAAGATCACCCGGAGACTGGGATTCTCCCAAAGAACAGAGCTAAACCCAAATAAAAACGCGAGACCACGAGGAGGATGGAGGCGGAGTCGAACCGGCACAGGAGTCAAGTGTGCGTCAAGGAAAGCACGCAGGAAAGGAAAAGGGACCTCTCTGGGAGTAACAGAATCTCAGACTCCCAAAAGTGAGCGGAGAAATTACTCTTGTCTTTCTGAAGACTAAAAAAAAAAAAAAGGAAGAAGAAGAAAACCCTAAAGAGTTCAAGGAATAAACTCCTAAAGCATGATACGATCACGGTTACTGATACCGCAGCCTTTCCCGCACACCCTGCGCCTATCAGGATCCGGTCCCAGCTAACGTAGTTTCCGCAAAGCGCAAGACTAGCTTCCGCCTACACTGCATCAACTCCGTCATTTCACGACCTACCGTCGTAAAGCAATGAAGAACCAGGCTTTTTTAAAAGGTGGCGCTGCGGCAGGAAATTTGCATAGAGGGTGATCTGCTGGCTAATCTTGTTTGTGTTTTCACTTACTAAGTAAAAAAACAAGGGAAACGTCACGGAATTTCAGTGGCATTTTTAAAATATACAGGATCTTTATGTCAAAACTGAATATATGTGGACTATATCTGTCACCCTTTCTGAAAAATCAGTAGGCCACCCTCGAGAGCCCTTAACCGCTACTTTGTTTCGATCCTTTCGGAGTTCATAAGTGTGATGATTGGGTGTTCATGCCTGTGTGTGAGATGTGCCTCCCACAAACCTTGTTACGACCTCGGCACATTACCCGTCTGACGTGAACTTTGAGGATCCTCTTATCTTTCGAACACCTGGGAAAACTTTAAGGAGGTGGTGTGTTTGTTTTCACTGCTAACTTTTCGGTTGTACGTTGCGTTCTGTAGACTTCTTCTATGTGGGTATAATTTATAGCTTTCTGGTTTTGAACGTTTAGTTTCGCGGAAGGTTTAGCTTTTTCTGTGAGATTAGCTTCCTCAAGTATGAAGCCGTGGATTTTACAAAACTACCGCCAGTGTCTAATCTCGAGATGGAAGCGCGTCTGGCACTGGGTATCCCGTCGGGGTTGAGACGGCCGGATCCCGGCCAGGTTCTCCAGTTCCGAGCCGTCGTCCCGCGGGTCCCAGAGCCGCGGGCGGCGCTGGGTCTGGGCGGCAGGCGGCGCATTTCGCCCGGTAGAGAGCGAGCGAGCGGACAGCTGCGCCCTGCAGGTCGTCAGGTCGGTTTTGAGCGGGGTGGGGAGCCACGGCCTGTGCGATCCCTTTGTCCAGGCCCGTCTCATACCGCGTCGGCATTGCTTGTCCCTCTCGCTGCGGGCTCCTGGAGGGTGGAATTGTGTCCCCCGGGGACAGGTCACATACCTGGCTATCCTTGGGAGTTCGTCGGTGACTTCATATAACGTCCACTGTACCGTGTCTTGGGAGCCCGGGGAAGCAAACTTAATTTGTGCCAAGGCGTGGGCCTCAGCACAGAAAGATGGGCGTCGGACACGGGGAGGGGTGGGAGAGCGGGATGGGCAGGTTCTCTGAGAGGGGCCCTCCGCGGCGCCGGGGAAGGCCCGCTCCTGGCAGCCGCCGCTCAGACCTGCGCTGCTGGACGAGTAGGCTTAGCCTCCGCCATGCACCCATCCAGTCTCCTCCTGGCTTGGGGATTCCTCTGGTCTCCGAGCCCCTAAGAGTTCCGAGCCCCTAAGAGTTCAGAGAAAGCCCTTCAAAGTTTTCTGGGGGTGGGGTGTGTGTGTGTGTGTGTGTGTGTGTGTGTGTGTGTGTGTGTAGGGTCGGAAGTGTCAGGGTTCTCCTACTCAGGGAGTGGTTATGGTGCGGGGAGACTTAAGTACTGTAGTCCCACTTTGGAGAGGGCACTGCTTACAAGTATCCTATCTGCGATTCCTTCCTCGCTTCCTCCCTCCCTCCCTCGCTTCCTCCCTCCCTCCCTCTCTGTGTCCTTGGGTGACCAAGTTCGGTAACCATTCTGCGCCTTGATAGTCTTTAACAGTAAAATGTGTGTAATCATAGGCCCTACTTCTTAAGCTTGTTATGAGAAATAAAGGAGTTAAATATATATATATGTAAACTGCTTAGAGCAATCTCTGGGCAGTGTGGTAAATTCGATACAGGTGTTAGCTCTTATTATTAAACCACAGCTTCAGTAGTAACTTGCATTTCCTCTTTTCAGGGGAATTTTGTGGCTAGGACCCTTCCTTTTTTCCTCTTTCATTTGGCCTAGTCTTGCTTCTCTGACCGGTTGGCACTCACAATTTTCTAAGCAATTTCAAACATTGATAAAAACCATTTCCTCCCAAAGGATTCTCCCATACTAAAAGCCCTGGTGGGAGCAAGATGCCAATCCACAGATAGTTACTGTATCCCTCTTGTGTGGGAGTCTGTCTTCCCTGTTTCATGAGCCCCTTGTGCTAAGGGGATACAAGATCTCACTCTCTTATGAGGAAAGTACTTGTATTGCAGAGGTCTCCCCCTCTACACTCTGAGTTTCTTGAGGCAAGAGACCAGGTCTTTATCCTCAGTGCCTGGCACAATTTAGTCATTCCATAAATGTTTGTTGAACCCACATGTCCATCCACAGAAGACTGGCTGAATAAACCACGGTATATCTATACAATAGCGTTCTGTGCAGCTGAACAAAGGAATGAAGACCATCTCTGTGGAAGGCCATGGAGCTAGTACATACCGGGGGTGCCAAAAAAATGTATACAAGTGGACACTTTGGTCAGCGTTGTTCAAGCAGTAGTTCGCCGTAATCAGAAGAGTCTGGACACTGATGGTAACCACTCTGAGCACCTCTTGTAATTGCAGAAGTCAAATGTGACTTGTATTCATCTTTTGTTATCGGTATATATTGAGTATTACAATTTTATTAGATATTTTCCTTTTTTAAATTGTGTATACATTTTTTTGGTATCCTCTGTATTAAGTGAAAAAAGCAAGGCTGAGACCATGTATATGTTTCCTTTCTTCTGAGAAAGATGAGTGTGCACATGCTTACATTTTAAAGAAGAAGCAATAAAATTATAAATTACAAACTAATAAAAATGGTTACACATAAGAACAGGGTGAAAGAAGTGAGGATGGAAGCTAGACTTCTTTTCATATACTGTATTTTATAGTTTGATTTTGGAATCATGTAAATGTCTTACATAATTTTTAAAGAAAATAACAAAGCATTTCCTAAAAGAAGCCATTAATCAAAGTATATATGGAGGGGCCGGCCAAGTGGCTCAGTTGGCTAAGAGAGAGAGCTCTGAACAACAGGGCCGCCAGTTCAATTCCTACATGGGCCAGTGAGCTGCGCCCAAGCTGAGCTGCTGCTGGGCTGCCAACAGGTGGCAGGACGGCTCAGCTGGTGAGTGCAGGTGCTCCTAGCAACAAGGTTGCCGGGTCCACTCCTGCATGGGATGGTGGGCTATGCCCACCTGCAACTAAGATTGAACATGGCACCTTGAGCTGAGCTGCCGACGGGTGGCCGGATGGCTCAGTGATCCGAGCATGCACTCTTAGCAACAAGGTTTCTGGTTCAACTCCTGCGTGGACAGCCAGATGGCGACTGGACTTGGAGCTGAGCTAGCTATGCCCTCCACAACTAAGACTGAGGGACAACAACTTGGCTGTTCCCCTTCCCCAATTCCCCAGTGCTGTTCCCGTTCCCCAATACCCAAATAAAATCTTTAAAACAAAAAAACTATACATGGAGTTACTAGCATAACCGTATGGAACACTAAGAAGCTGACTTTAAAACTCGTTATTTTGACTATATATTCTTAGTGTGACATATCCTAAGGACAAAAACGAATGGT